GGGCTGGGGTGGGGGTGGGGCGTAGGGGCTGTGGGCTGGCCCGGGCGGCCGCAGGCACCTGCAGTAGAGGGAGGAGATGGCGTTGGCCCAGTGGCCGAGGACGCCGCGGCGGTACTCCTCCAGACGCGGGTAGGCGCCCGACGAGAACTTGCGCGTCTTGCCCTCCTTGCCGCGGCGGGACCACACGGTGAGCTCGCAGCGGGGGGCCACCACGAGCGAGGAGGCCACGTTGGCCCAGTTGGAGGGCAGGAAGGGCAGGTCGGCGCCGGGCTCCACCGCGAGCTGGGCGCCGCCGCAGCAGTTGTCGTAGTAGGGGTCGCTCTTGTCGAAGAGCACAGCGCACGTGCGCGTCCCGTCCGCGCGCTTGAGGTCGGCGGGCACCGGGCAGCTGCCACGGACGCCGGGCACGGCGACCACGGCCAGGGCCAGCAGCAGTGGGCACAGCGGGGTCATCGCGGCACTGCGGGGCCCTGCCCCCGCGCGCTTTTATGCGCCGGCCCGTGGGAAGGGAGAAGCTGCGAGATAAGGACTGAGGGCGGGAGGGGCGGGGAGGGCCGGGGAGGGGGGAGCCGGGCACCTGACGGCGCGGGAATCCCTCCACCGCGGCCGCGTTGTACGCGGCTCGGCCAGCCGCGCCTTTGCGTCGGCACCCAGCGTGGCAGAGGAAGGCAGGGCATGAAGGGCAGGTGGCGCCTGTTACAGAGCGCGCGGGGTGAACAGGCACCGGGAGGAATGTGACGCGGGATGGAAGCGCTCGCCTTCCAGATTAGGGCTCGGCGGCTGGGGGGGGGGGAGTTGCCCGGCTCCCTACCGGGCCTTGGGAATGGAGAAGCTGGAGATAAGGAAAGAAGCCCTGAGCAGAGAGGGGGAGAAATGGGGAGGGGCGCTGTGCCCCACCCACCTAGCGTCCTTAAATACAAAGTTTACCTAACACCTCTGCCAGGCAGTGTTCAAAAGCCTGGGGGGAGCGTGGGTGGCTTTGCAACACTCGGGAGCAGAATTCAGGAGTGTGGTATAGAGTGCTTCCAAACTGACCAGTCTCAGAAGAACAAGCCTAAGAGGGGGAGAGGGAGAGAAAGGAGGCTCCCAGCCCCCCACTCCTGCTCCCGAGGATACAGGAGATTTTTCTTAATCAAGGTTGGAAATCTTCAGAAATAAACAGAAGACAGAAGAAACTGCACAGAACTTAAACCTTTTGTATAGTCAAACAACAAAATAAAACAACCCCAGACTACACTCAAACTCATCTGGGTAAAAACAGACAGTTCCTGCAACAAGCAACAAGTTCTTAACCTGATCAGCAAAAGGAAAAGAAACCAGCCAGAGGGAGGAGAAAGAGTGGCCCAGCCCCCCTGGGATCTTGGTGGGGACCCTGGGGGGAGTTCCTGGCCTCCTGCCAGACAAGAATGGGGACCAGTGGATGAGCTGCCCAGATTGACGGGGTTCAAGTCTTCCTACACTCCAGGATTGTTGTGAAGATTACAGAGGATATTCTGGGATCAGGGAAGGAAGCAGCTTACCTCCTGGGCCAAATCCCAGCTCCGTGAAGTTCACCTCCAGCACCACCAGATTATGGCCTACTCAGCCCTGGCTGCTGGTGTAACAAGCAAATGAGTTTATCCTGTAGAGAGCTGAGCCAGGACCCTGGCCTACACGTGCCAGTGTCTGCGGGCGTTACCATCTCGGAAGCCCCTTCGGGTGCCTGGCACACAAGTTAAAGCCATCTACAGGGAGCAGCTATTCACTACTACCAAGGCCACTCAGCTAGCCCTGCTCCCTCCTGGCTCCCCCAGGTACTGTTAGAGGACAACACCCCGGAACTTCCCCTTTTCCGAGGGACCACCCTGCTACAGTACACGCTCCTCTGTGCCCAGGCACCCAGCAGCCAATAAGACTCAAGGCTGGAAACGCTTGAGGAGGGAGGTTTGTCTTGCTGGCTGAGTGACCTTGGGCAGGTGAACTCACCTCTCTGAGCTTCAGTTTTCTCCTACCTCCAGGAAGATAAAAGAAAATGACTTTATAAAGTGTAACTAGCATAGTTTTTCATAATACAGCCTACATGATTGCTATTTACAAACACACACATATACTATTGGACACCACGATATAAATATAAACGTGTAGGGCATGACGTTCAGAACCAGCTCTCGGCAGAACCAGCTCTCGGTCAGGTCCTGCTCTCACTGCGGTAGAGAGAGATCCTGAGCCCGGCGCTGCCCCAAAGCCACCTAGATCTCCCTCCTTCCCTCTCCTGACCCTGTGGTATCTAATCTCCAGCTGCTGACTTCACAGAGGGCTTCCTTGACCTCAGAGACACCTGAGCCTCTACCTTCCAGCTCCGCAGGGGCCCCAGGACTGAGACAGGTGGGGTCAGAGGGCCCCACCCCCAGGAGGGTGCCAGCTGCAGACACAGATGGCCCCAGGGGATGGGGAGGCGAGCCAGGGACAGGAAGGGGGGCCATGTGACCATAGGGCTCTGCCTGCATCAGAGAGAACCCAGAGGACCCAGGGCCGGAGCACAGAATCCACCATTCAGATGCGCTCTGGGAAGGGGCTGGGGGCACCCTCCACAGCCAGCTACCGGTCACTGATGCCCACTGGTGTGCCCAGAGAACTGCAGAGGGGTGGAGACAGCATGGTGTGGAGACAGCGTGGTGTGGAGACAGCGTGGTGTGCAGCCTTAGACGTCAGACCCCCCAGCACCAACCAGCCCCCAGTCCTCAACCACGGCCTCCCACACCCCGTGGAACTTTAGAGGTGCAAATCCCAGGCACCCATGTTGTCCTTCACACATGCACACACCCACCCCTGGCATCCTCATCCAGAAACGGCCTCCTCACTGTTTATTAACACAAATTCCACAAACAGAAGAAAAATAAATCTTCCTAGTTTCATTTTCCCCTCAGGAGCTGCCCTTTCTTCAGTGTCCTGCCCTTAGAGGAACCCGTGAGCCCTGGAGAAAGTCAGACAGCAAATCAGTAATTCAAACAGAGCCCAAAGGAGCGCTCACGTGGGCCATGCAAAGCATGCTGGGAAGAAGTGGGAGAATGGCAGGGATTTTAAAACAATATATATGCTGGTGGGTTCTGGTTTGTATAACAAGAAAGATGTCCTCTCTCAAGAGCTCCCCACCTTGATTGCACATTTTTTTCACCAGGCCATAAAGAGGTTGCCACTAGAAGGAAAAAGGGGTTGTCTGTCTCAATCAGGGTAGATCCCTGAACTTAAAGCTATTATCGGTGGCACATAATTTAAATGAAAATGCTGTCTGTTGCGCAAAACCAGGAAAATACAGATCAGTACTAACTGCACCCTGCAGCTGCATTGGTGAAGCCCCTGCTGAGGGGAGCAGCTGGTGGGTCAGAAGCACCATGTGGGTCAGCTCCTGCTGGGAATTGAACTTGTGCCACAATGGCTGACTGTAGCTTGATAGCTAGCGCTGAGACTTCACCCCTGCACCGCCAGGGAGGCCCTCATCCATAATTCTTAAGAGCTAGTCCAATCCTCCAAAGCAGCCAAAACCCGGAGTCTTGGCAACAGTGGTTCTCAAAGGGGGGTCCTCAGAACAACTGTACCCACACCCCCTGGGAACTTAGTAGAAATGCAGATTCTCGCTCCACCCTGGCCCCTCCTCCTGCCCCACCAGGGGTAGAACCTACCAGAATGTTGAACACCAGCCTGGCATTCTGCTGCCCCTGAGATTTGGGAACCACTACTGAGGGCTTTGGCTTTTAAAACTGCCTATGTCGTTGATGGTTATTTACATCCAGAATTTTCTGTATTGCTACTCCTGTTTGCTCAGCGGCTGTCAAGTGTGCTTCCTATAACTTCTGATTCAAACAAACAAACAAACAAAAAACATGTGCAACACAAAGGGACATCTCTGGGACCCCAAGTGGAGCCTCCGGAGACAGCGTCTGGAGCCAGCTGCCTGGCAGGAGCTGGAATATTCTCGGCACAGATAAATCCATCAGCATGGAACCGAGGACAGAGCTGTGAACCATGTTCCCTGTTACACCTGCTACAGGTGAGGCCACTCCTCTGGAAGGTTCTAGGTTCCAGCTACAGGAACTTCTGCCCTTCTGCGCAATCACCCCGGCGTGAGGCAGGGAGCAGCGAAGGTCCCTGTAGGCTGCAGGTCCAGGGAGGACTTGGCTTCTGCCTTCCTTGAGCTCAGGGGCGAGTCCCGCAGCTGGAGGGGGCAGGTGGCAGTGGAAAGTGAGAAGACTGCGAACCCAACGAGCAGCACAGGGAGGGGGAAGGGGGTACAGTGTCAGAGGCGAGACAGCCTGGGGGCGCAGGGGAATAATGGGGGCTAAAAGAGAAACCCAAACCAGCTGGAGATGGGCAGAAGCAGGTCTCAACCTCTCAAGCTCTCGGGATGGGACGCTGGTGACCTCGCGGGTGGGCGTGACACCCAAAACTGAGCCCCGAAGGGCTCGGATTTTGCTGGCCGCCAAGGTGCCCTGAGCCCGCAGGGGCTCGCGAGGTGGCACCTGAGCAGGTTCCTATCCCAGCTCCGCCCCGCCGTGAGCGCATGGACTTTGGCCAGTTACTCAACTCTCGCGTCATCGTCCAGGTCAGGTGGGTTGGTACATGCCAAAGCGGTTTTTGCTTTCTGTTTATGACGCTGGAGGATGTTTCCTTTTTAGTGCCTATTTTGGCCACTGCTCCCTTCATTATTTCTTCCTTTTCCCCTCAAATTTTAGTAAGTTTCCACAAACTTGTGTAAGTTTCCACAGCTTTCTCGCCTGTTTAATTTAAGGTGCTCAGTCTCCCACCATACGTTGATAGTTGTATTTCTGGCAAAGTGACTATCACACCGATTAACTTGTACCATCTCACAGGAGCCTTTTTTCTTTTTCTCCTAAGGAGAAATTTTAAGCTTTAATGTCTTAGGCTCGATATATATTTACCTTTGGCACACCCCCTTCTACCCATTTACTCATCCTTCCCTCCTCCCACCCCCCCAATCAATCTGCTGTTTTTGAGTTGGGTTGTTTTCAAATTCCACATCGATGTGGGACCATATAGTATTTGTCTTTCTCAGTCTGACTCTTTTTTTTTTAAAGATTTATTTATTTATGCATATAAGAGCCTTCGTACAAGCCAGAGGTGTGGTGGGTGAGAGGATTCACCAGAGACAGAGTGGGGAGTAGTGGGGAGACAGGAGAGGTCTGCAGTGCCATGTGGATCAGCTCCTTGGCTGGGGTTTGAGCTAGTGCTAAAGTGGCTGTGGACAGCTTCATAGTACTGAGCTTTAACCCATTGCTTCGTCAAGGAAGGCCATATCCAAATTTTAATGCTGACTGATTGGGGGCTTTTATTCCACCTGCAGTCTTATCCCCCCTCACCTTATTGCATAATATACTCACAAAGACTAGGAGTTAGAGCACGGACATCTTTGGGGGACCATTATTCTGCCCACAAAGTAGTGTTTGGTTTCACTACAAATGAAAAGGTTTCTTCTCTCTTCTTAAGTGAAGAGGTGGCTTCCCAACCTGTCAGGCCCCATGGTGTAAGGGCCCAGTCATAGCAGTATTATCCACAATAGCTAAAACATGAAAATCACCTAGTGCCCATCAGCAGATGAATAAAAAAGCAGAATGTGGCACATGTGTGTGATGGAATATTATACAGCCGTTAAAAGGAAGGCAGTGCTACAGCACAGATAAATCCAGAGGACATCTTGCTAAATGAAGGAAGTCAATCACAAAAAGACAAATACTGTATGGTTTCACCTGTATGAGGCACTTAAAATCATCAAAATTATAAAGAATATAGAATGGTAGTTGCCAGGGACTAGGTGTAGGGAGGGAAGAGTGGGAGTTACTGTTTAATAGGTATAGAGTTTCAGTTGGACAAGATGGAGAGAATTATGGGGTGGACAGTGGTGACAGTCATACATCAAAGTGAGTGCACTTATCAACACTGAACTGTAGGAAGGCAATACATTTTATGGTATGTTATTTTACCAGTCAGGGCTGGTAGTAATTTGTTATAGTGAAATAGGAAATGACAATAATGACTTACCCTAATGTCTCCCATATTCCCTAGGAGATGGAACTATGGGAAGACATCTCTGCAGTTAGTCATTGGCTGAAGGCTTCCAAGGAACCAAAGTGATTACAGAGAAGACTGGGCAAGGAATTCCAGGAGGTAAAGAATGAATTAGATTAACTAATGTCAATATACTCCAAAGTAGGGATGTTGGAGCAACCCAGAGACCTGAGCTTGCACCCCCAGGCCCTCCAGATGGCCAGAGCAATAAAGGCTGCAATTCCACTCTGCCCCCTGACTTCCAGCACCACCTACACTGGAGGGGAGTCTGCCTGGGCTGGGCTGTGGTCTGACCGCTGTGTCTTTAACCCCTTGCTGCCAGGGAAGGGCACAGTTTTTAGACCCTTTGCCCAGTAACTATAGTAGTCATAAAATAGTAACAGTAGCAATTGTAAAAACAACACCTATCATAAACTCTCAAAAGTGTGGTGACCACGAGCTTATCAATCAAGCCAGGCTGCATTTTGCTGTAGTAACAAATAACCCCGAACCTCAGGGGTTTATCCCCAGAGAGGTTTATTTCTCATTCCACCTGCTCAGTGCAGGGCATTCTGGGGAGCAGCCAGTGCTGCTGGGTTGTTGCCAGCCTCTGATGACAAGAAAGGGCAGGTGAGACAGACACAGACCCTTAAGGCATAGACCCCCAAACAACACACTCACAGAAAGGGCTTGGCAGATGGAAACCCCCCCCCCCCCAAGCCAGTTGACACTGTGGAGCAGGCAGCGGCATGAGCTGCTGTCCATGGTGCTGAGCACTATGGTCTGCTGGAAAAGAGGTTTCTTTCATCCCTGGGACTCAAGATCCTTCACTTCATCACCCACAGTCTCCTGGAGAACAGGAACATGTTTGGGGGGCATTGTCCGTCTAACACACGTGTGACAGACACAGGCAGCTGAGCCCAGGGTGAGCAGCAGCCTGTGACTTTGTCCCCAAATAGCTCACAGGTATTTCCTAACAGGCATCTTGAAGTATCATGTATGCTCCTCTCCACTCGTAAGCTGCCACGATGACTTTTTATTTAGTGCATTAATGAAGAAGTCCATAAATTACTTGATCAGAGTCTTAAAAAATATTTTGGTAACTATATTACAATAAAAACTGGATTCCTTTGTTCTAGGTATTTTCTTCAGAGAAGCTTTGCAAGGCTGCCAGGCAAATGGTTACGAATGCCTGACCTTGGGTGTGTGGAGCAAAATGAGGGCCCTGGGTGAGAACATGGAGGCCCCTCCCCCCACCCTGGTACGAGACAGACATGGGGGATCGGAGGCGGCGGGGGGGTCTCCTAATGTAATTACTTCATGCATCTCTTCGTCACAACCGCCAGGCTCTTTTCAGACTCTGCTCAGCACAGAATGAGGATTCCAGTTGCTCCCACTTACAAGGGGCTGTCCAGGATTGATGGAGCATGAGCCTATGCAATTTAGGGGTTCCTTTTCAGAAAGAGAAAGGATGCAGCCACCGTGGAAAATAGCATGGGGACAATTTGATCACTTCAAATAGAACCACCATCTGATCCAGCAACTGCACTTCAGAGTACCCGAGACGCGAAAACAGTCGCTGGGAGAGGATCTGTGCCCACCCGTTTCCTGCAGCGGTATTTACAACAGTCACCACGTGGAAGGCGTGGCAGAGTCCAGCCGTGGGCGAATGGATAAGGAAAAGGTAGCTAAGGAAAGTAGATTGCGGCCTCCCTGGTGCCGCAAGTGGTAAAGCGCAGCACTGCAAGCTCCCGCAGCCACTGCAGCACGAGTTCTATCCCCGGCCCGGGAGTGACCCACACGGCGCAGCAGGCCTCTCCTGACCCGCCCGCTGCTCCGCTCAGCAGTGTGTTTCAGTGGATCCTCCTGTTCTGCTCCCCACTGTCTCTGGTGAATCCTCTCACCCCCGACATCTGCAGCCTACACCCAGTTCTTGTATGCATAAATAAATGAATCTTACAGTGTCCAGTAGGCTGGACACTGAAGCTCAGCTACCAAGATGAGTTACGTACCCAGAGGCCAGTGGCCCCTAGGCTGGTGGGGCCTGGGGAGTGCTTGGCCGTGGACCCCGCTGTCCGGGCCTCTCAGGCTGTGCAGTCATCACATCCTGAGTTCATGTAGTTGACATTGTGGTCAGCTGTCCTTTGTGGCATGTCTCAAAGTGGCCCGGGTACATGAGGGTGTCCCCACATGCTGTCCAGGTCTGCATGATTCTGTTCTTCACAAGGAAGAAAGCCCCTCAGAGGCATTTCTGAGAGGGATCTACACCCCAGGGACCCGGAGAGACATGTCCATTCAGCAAACCCTTTCAAGGATGACACTTCACAGGCCACATCCTCTGGTAGCAGAGTGATGGCCGCCCAGCCCTCCTCCCCCGAGGCTGAGCCTGGTGAACTTCGGTAGACTCGTTGAGGGTTATTGACTTTTAACAGGGGGGCTACGTGGACGACCCAGGAACGCAGAGGAATGTCTGCAGCACAGACATTTCTCCCGCTGAAGGCAGAAGAGAGACTTGGCAGAAAAGTCAGAGAGATTCCTCCCGGGCTAGGCTGTGACCCCACGGCCTCACTGGCTTCAGATACGGGACCCACTTGCGAGAGTCAAAGAAGCTTCCAGAAAGGATGCCCATCACAGCCAGAAACAGGCACTTCATTGTAACCCCAGCAGACTAATGAACACCAAAATACTTGAATGAATTGGAGCAGATTCTCCCAGAGCCATGTGGAAGACACAGCAGGATCTTTTAAAGATTTATTTATTTGTACATACAGAACTGGGGTACAGGCCAGAGGCTCAGGGGCGGTGAGAGGCTTCACCAGAGACAGAGTGGGCAGCAGAACAGGCAGATCGACGAGGTACACTGCTGAGGGGAGCAGCGGGCGGGTCAGGAGAGGTCTGCCACGCCATGTGGTCACCTCCGGAGGCAGGCGGGGGTCGAGCTCATGCAGAGGTGGCTTTAGCTTCTCAGTGCAGTGCTTTAACCCGCTGCGCCGCCAGGGAGGGCCGACACAGCAGGATCTTTGACGCTAGCCTGAGAGACACCTGTCCACTGACCAGGGGCCACCGGCACTGGGCAGAGGACGCTCCGTGGTGCTGTTTTGCCAAAGGAAAGGAAGCCACGCGACACAGCCCAACCACTGAGCGTCTTGTGCACACAGTTTATTGGCACATTTTTACAAAAAGTAGAAAAATAAACATTTTCCGGGTTTGAGGGTGACATCGATCATAAATAGTGATCAGAAGCAATAAATAAGAAAATAATGGGGTGCGATGGCGGCTCGGAGGCGGGACAGGTGCAGGGGTCACAGCTCAGACACACAGGTCTCCGCTGGCCACGCACGGCAGGTCCCGGCTGAGGAGGCGGAAGAGGTTGAAGGTCACAGAGGCTTCCAGGCAGCCCCGGGACTCCTGTGGAGACAAGGGTGGTGAGGGGCTGTCTCGCCTGGGCTCCCCGGGCCGCACCTCTGTCCCCTGGGGTGTGTCACCTGTCTCTGCGCCTCCCGCAGCCGGTGCAGCCAGTGCTGGAGGTGGCCTCGGGGCCGGGGCCTTGCGCCGGGCTGAGCTGAGAGCTGTGGGCACAGGAGCGGGTGTGAGGTGGCCCGGCCAGGAGAGGGGCCCCCCGTGCCAGAGCCAGACCCGGCCGCCCGGCCCAGCACTCACGCAGGCCTGGAGCTCCGTGTGGACGTGGTGCAGCGTGCCGAGGGGCTGGTCCAGGACGGCGCCCAGGGACGAGTTGCTCACACCGCCCAGGACCTGCAGTGTCAGGGCCACCTCGGCCTCCAGGGCCACGGGGCGCTCCCACACCTGAGACGGGGACACCAGCAGGTGAGTGGTGAGGTGGAGAGGCCAGTGAGCAGGACGGGGAGGGGACAGTGGGAGGGCTCAGCCTTGTGTGTGGGGGGGGCAGAGCGGGACTGGCAGGGAGGGAGGGAGGGCAGGGGCACCCGGGAGCCAGCTCACCTGCAGCTGCCTCAGGTCCCGGGTCCTGGGGAAGAGGCGGGAGCTGCAGCTGCGGTCCTTGGGCAGGAGCCACTCCTCCTGCAGAGCAAGGGCAGGTCAGCCCCGGGCCCAGGGTGGGAGGGAGGGGGGCGCCCCGGGAGCAGAGCCCTCCCCAGCACAGCCTGCTGGCCCCACAGGGAGGTGTGCTGAGCCCCAGCAGGGGCGGCCACTCACCAAGGCATCCTTGGCCCTCTTGAAGGCCTGCAGCTCTCCTGGGGACAGAGACTTGAGCTGCGCCGCAGGGCACCCCCTGGCTCCCGGGGCCTCGGGGACAGGCCCGGCCGCTGTGCCGGTCAGCACGGGGATCGTCAGCACCAGCACCAGCACCAGCAAGCTGGCCCAGGCCACGTCTGTGTGATGGGTGCAGAGGAGATGGGGGTGAGTCAGGGGCTGAGCTGGGAGCCCACGGGCAGGGGCGTCAAGGACGCGGGGACTCACCAGGCCTCGTTCTCATTCTGCGCCTCGAGTCCACCGCCGTCTCGGGGGCTGCTGACCTCCGGTCCCCTCCGGCCTCTGGGAAGCAGCTGTGCCCGTGCGTGTGCAGGCGCTGGAGAGGCCGCTGCTGTGAGCTCCATGCTGCAGCGCTCAGCTTTTAGCTGCTTCGAAGGGCTTGGGGCAGCCCAGATTTGCGTAGAAAAGAAAACAGACAGGTCCCCGTTAGCAGGGGAGCCCCAGGCTGGGAAAGGCCGGAGGAGGCCCCGCCCGCCCGCAGCTGAGGACGCCCGAAGCGAAAGAGAAACTGCACACACCTGACAGGTCACACTCAGGTCCAGGGCTCCGAGGCTGCGGGCCGGCCAGGTGGGCGCCAGGGCCGGCTGGCCCCGGGGTCTCTCCTCCATCCTGAGAGCACGTGGATGTCGGGGGACTCTCGCCGCGCCCACCACACCCCAGCTTCCCTGTCCGGTGCAGAGCGGG